TGCATAGAAATCCAAAACAAAAATGGGTAATATAGAGGGGAGTCAGGAGGGTAGAATTACATTTCGATTTTCTTTAAAAAAGTATTGAATTTTATATAAATGCTTCAAAAGATGAAACTTTCCTTGCAATTGACCTATTTTTACAGTCACATCTGGTGTTATGCTTCACATCTGGTGCAGCGGATATTCACATATAATTTTTACCGATGCTCAATTTTGAGATACATATAGGGTTCCACCCCCGTGTCTATACCGGACTACGCTAACTCAGATATGATTGAGATCTAGTGTAATGTAATGTAATTATGTAATGTTCTGCAATAGAATGTAGTGCAATGTAATTGAGAAAAGTCCGTGCGGAGCCATAGGCATTGTCAGTGCTGTAGCGCTCTCAGATAAAATGTATGACGTGTATGAGTTATTGTGTTCGAGGTTCTTATCCGAAAACTGACGGAAAGGGCTGTAAATTTGCGATCGTTTGTTTCTAAGTTTTTTTTTCAAACTCGTTAGATATATACTTTTTATTGATTTTATTGTGATTTCAATTAATTCATTCACGTCTTACAGGATATCTAAGAGCGGCCCCGCGAGGGCTTTCCGTGTATAAAATAGTACGGTATAGTGTGCAGATGCGCAAATATATAATCACGAAATTGAATTCGTGAAGTTGAAATTGTGAATTCATGAAGTTGAAATCGTGAATTCAAGAAGTTGCAATCGTGAATTCATGAAGTTGATATCGTGAATTCATGAAGTTGATATCTTGAATTAGTGAAGTTAAACTCGTGAATACGTCAAGTTGAAATCGTGAAGTTAAAACTGTGAATTCATGATGTTGAAATCGTGAATTCGTGTACATCGATGAAGATGAATTGTCCCCACCGGTCTTTCGTACAAAACAGAGAAAACAAAGAGCTTACTACTTAACAAATCGCTTACTACTTATATTAATAAATTAATGTACATGGCAAACAATGATAAATTCTCACTGATTTATAAGTGCATATACATGATAAACAGAGAAACAAATCTCATGTACACGACCAACAGAAAAGGTAACGTATAATAGGTTACATTATTAAGTTAATCACAACATAATAAACATAAAATAACACTCACATTTTCATAAGTAAATGTACATGGCAACAAGTGTAACAAAGGTTAAGAAATAGGTAAGTTTATATACAAGGCTAATAGAAACAAAGGTTCATGTGTTATCTTTAAAATAACGTAACTTTAGATCGACATTTAGAATAAAGTGACTCAACAAATCTCAGCGTTTAATTTAACATTTTTATTGCGTTTGTTAGATAAAAATTTACTGTGTGTTCATACTCGTCAATTTTTGTTTCCTCTCTACTAAGAAAATATATACATGTATATACATCAATGCTCTTCCAAGAAACAGAAGATGAATAGATAAGTGGTTTTATTAGAGACCAGAAGTCAGCGCATGCGCTAATATACCTAAACCAACAAGTATTTGATTTTTAATATACAAGAACTGGTACTGTATTATTGTTGAGAGAAACAAAGTAGTTTAAAAAAAAGACAACACCAAAAAAAAACAAAAATCAACTACAAACAAACAAAACAAAAAAAATAAAAATAAAATAAAAACAACAAAAAAAACTAACATACAAACAGACAAACATAATCACCCCCAAAGAACAAACAAACAATCAAACAACCCCCCCCCCCAAAAAAAAAAAACAACACAAAAAAAAACAATAAAAAAACAAACAAAAAAACAACAAAAACAACAACAACAACAAAAAAAAAAACAACAACAAAAAACAACAAAAAAAACAACAAAAAATAACAACAAAAAAACACCAAAAAACAACAACATTCCATAACGTCTCACACGCTCTTCTACGAAAGCCTAATAGTGTCAAATGAAATAAAAAATAAAAATGCAAAGGCGTTAAAACACGAATAAAGGCATTATTACGCGAATCAAAAGGCGTAAGAACGCGAATAAAGGCGTAGCAACGCGAATCAAAAGGCGTAATAAAGCGAATAAAGGCGTAGCAACGCGAATAAAGGCGTTATAACGCGAATCAAAAGGCGTAATAACGCGAATAAAGGCGTTATAACGCGAATCAAAAGGCGTAGTAACGCCTTTATTCGCGTTATAACGCGAATCAAAAGGCGTAGTAACGCGAATAAAGGCGTTATAACGCGAATAAAAATGCGTAATAACGCGAATAAAGGCGTAATAACGCGAATCAAAAAGCGTAATAACGCGAATAAAGGCGTAATAACGCAAATCAAAAGGCGTAGTAACGCGAATAAAGGCGTAGTAACGCGAACCAAAAGGCGTATAACGCAAATTAAAACACATTATAATGCCAATTTAATACCATATTTATACTAATCAAATTCGCGAGAAAGGAAGACCAATATTGATCTGAATTTATTGCTCAAGATATAAACTCGTATACAATAATACAATATACATTTACAATAACTTTCATTCCATTTGCACATTAATTATGCAAACTATTTGTCATAAACTAATAAAGACTCTTTAATATTTGCCAATATAAGATGACTTGGTGACTTATAGGTTATAAAGTATTACCTCCTTCAAATAACAATCCTCCTATGAAGTTTGAATATTGTGGGCCAAATGGTACTTAAGTTATGCTCCCGAAACCAAATTGCTTACGCACGAACGGACAGACAGACATACAGACGGACGGACGCACGTTCCAACATTTTGGGTTTAGGGGCTATTTTCTTTGTTATTTTCTTTGTTCTCTTAAGGGCTACTAGCCCATAAACCCTTTGATCACGGATTGAACCTATTGTTCTCTTTTGTTCTCTTTACTGTTATATAGCCCCTAAACCACAAATGTTTGCTCGGACGTACGGACGCCAGGGGGTATAACATAATATGCCCGAAATTCTTTCGGGCATATAATAAAACGTAAATCTAGATCAATTCATTTAAATCAACATTGTTCTTCCTTCCATACATTAATAGGCCACTTTTTGGAATTTATATGGTATTTAATTAGCGTTATAACGCCTTTTGTTATGCGTTATTACGCCTTTTGGTTCGCGTTATTACGCCTTTTGATTCGCGTTATAACGCATTTATTCGCGTTAGTACGCCTTTTGATTCGCATAATTACGCCTATTGTTTCGCGTTATAACGCGAATCAAAAGGCGTAATAACGCGAATAAAGGCGTTATAACGCGAATCAAAAGGCACGTAATAACGCGAAAAAAGGCGTAGCAACGCGAATCAAAAGGCGTAGTAACGCCTTTATTCGCGTTATAACGCGAAACAAAAGGCGTAATAACGCCTTTATTCGCGTTTTAACGCGAATCAAAAGGCGTAATAACGCGAATTAAGGTTTTATAACGCGAAACAAAAGGCGTAGTAACGCCTTTATTCGCGTTATAACGCGAAACAAAAGGCGTAATTTCGCGAATAAAAGCGTTATAACGCGAATCAAAAGGCGTACTAACGCGAATAAAGGCGTTATAACGCGAATCAAAAGGCGTAGTAACGCCTTTATTCGCGTTTTAACGCGAATCAAAAGGCGTAATTACGCGAATAAAGGCGTTATAACGCGAATCAAAAGGTGTACTAACGCGAATAAAGGCGTTATAACGCGAATCAAAAGGCGTAATAACGTGAATAAAGGCGTTATAACACGAATCAAAAGGCGTAATAACGCGAACCAAAAGGCATAATAACGCAAAACAAAAGGCGTTATAACGCTAATTTAATACCATATAAATTCCAAACCGTGGCCTAGTAATGTAAGATAGGAAGAACAATTTGATCTAAATAAATCGATCAAGGCGTACGTTTTATTTTCAATTCTGTACGGATACGTCCTAAGGCCACAGTCTGATTTTTTAAATCTTTTATTAGGAAATGCTTTCGTCAGATTAAAGGTTAACTTTCACCCAACTATAGATACTTTTCTACATAGACAAAGAAGGGAATGTGACTTAACTGAAACACTATCCCCAATTCAAACGTACTTATCAATAATCACCCTAATGTGACTAGCTTATACCTTACGTTTTCCCAAATCTTGTTACCTATAGCATATTACCTATAGCTTAATAAGGAATGGCATTCACATAATTAGAATATACTAGATGTTATAAGGTAATCAAATAGGATATATCCGAAGATAATTGAACATATGACGCACATATAAGACAAGATAAGATAAGAAAAGAAAAGAAATTCATTTACTATAGTGACATGTGTAAAAGCAATATATGATACACGCGAATTCAGATTAACTGTATTTACGTCCAGTCCAATGGACCTATAAGGCCCCCAGACACCTTAAATTGGCAAATATTAAAGAGTCTTCATTAGTTTATGACAAATAGTTTGCATTATTACTGCGCTAATGGAATGTTAGTTATTGTAAATATATATTATATTATTCTATACGAGTTTATATCTTGAGGAATAAATTCAGATCAATATTGGTCTTGCTTTCTTACGTTACCAGGCCATTTGATTAGTATAAATATGGTATTAAATTGGCATTATAATGCGTTTTAATTGGCGTTAGTACGCCTTTTGGTTCGCGTTACAACGCCTTTATTCGCGTTACTACGCCTTTTGATTTGCGTTATTACGCCTTTCATTTCGCGTTATAACGCCTTTATTCGCGTTATTACGCCTTTTGATTCGCGTTATTACGCCTTTATTCGCGTTATTACGCCTTTTGATTCGCGTTATTACGCCTTTTGATTCGCGTTATAACGCCTTTATTCGCGTTGCTACGCCTTTATTTGCGTTGCTACGCCTTTTTTCGCGTTATTACGCCTTTTGATTTGCGTAATTACGCCATTTGATTCGCGTTATAACGCCTTTATTTGCGTTATTACGCCTTTTGATTCGCGTAATAACGCCTTTATTCGCGTTATAACGCCTTTGTATTTTTATTTTTTATTTCATTTGACACTATTAGGATTTCGTACTCTTCTATAATAATGTAGGGAACCTCCGTTTCTACTTGACCTATTTTATATCCGGTTGTTCTACAGCTTATGTTTCTATTCTGTGAATTTACCGTGCATTTAAACCGATCATGAAATAAAGTGGACATAAAATTATTTTAAAATATGCGTGCATTAGGTTCTGTTGTTTTGTGCTGCATTTCATTGTGGATTTTATCCAGTGAAGCTGGTATGATAAATTATTATCTGTTTTAACACTTTAGTTTTTCTGTTTTATGAGGCTTAAGCTAACGTGTAATGTGTAAGCACACCTACCGTGCGCAGTGGTACGTGTGCAATGTATTTGCCCCACTGTCATTGTGCCAAGTTTAAGCAGCCTTGAAAAGCCTTTTTCATAGTGTCATAGAAATTTTAACTTTTAACAGGAGGCTTTTCAACGAAAACAGCCATTTTTCACAAAATGGTCATGAAGTAATGGGTTATAAACAAAATACAGAAAATGCCGCAAACCACAAAAAAGTCCAGTTTGGGTAATTCCAATATTTTTCATCATTTTCTGTAAATGCTAAGACACAGCTCAATCTTTATATGATATAAACTATTTGAGATTTGTTTTTACTTTTATTCTATACACCATAGTTTTCTTTCTACTAGATTTTGACTTCCATCCATGTACTGGAATTATTAATTACCCATACATTGATATCTATAGCTATGATGAGACTGTATAATATATCTGTATTTACAGAGTTACAGTTATGACATTATTATTAAAGTGATTCTAGTCGCTGGGTCGTGTGGGGTTGCGTTTACTGAACGCCACCTTTCCTTGTTGATCTTGATTATCATATTTACATTAAAATATATAAATAATAATACATGTGTTTATTACTCTACAGTTTATAGGTATATACCCAGTGTAAGCTGGCTAAACAATTTATTTGCAATAGAGTGAAAGAAATGTTGTAAAGGGTGACTTAGCCTGTACGTTGTGGTTATATGCCTATCTTTAGGAGAGGTTTATTTACTGTATTTTTCAAAATATTTTATTTTCTGAACGTGTGAGATATAGCGGGTATGACCTTTTCAGCATTTGGGGTTTAAAATTAGTACCCATTCCCATGAAAAAGGGTCAACGGGGGAAATCCCCCGGGGACGGTTGCATGGTAATATAAAATATCCCAACTTCTCTCCCTAGAAAGGGTTAGTATGGCCCTTTTAAAAGGGAAAAAAATGTTTGAAATAAGTTTAAATTTTACAAGCCCCTCAGTAAGTCATATTCGGGAATTGTTTTTTTTAAATTTTTTTCTAACAGGGGGGAAGTTTAAAAAGGACAGCCGGTGTTTGTTTTTAAATGGAGAGCCCCTTTTTTTAATCTCCAGGTTCGGGCAGATTTTTTTTCATAGGGGTGATTGTTTCCAGTGGAAAAAATTTGGATGGGGGGCGGGTTTTAAATGCTACAAAAAAAACCGAAAATGTACGAAGAAGTAACCGGGCGAAAGGGACAAAAAATATAAAAAAATACAACAAAGTGGCCCCGGGTTTTTTTGTATTTTCAGGGGGCTCGGGTGTTTTAAAAAATGAAACATGCCCCAAACCCAACATCATAAAAATTTCTTATCTAAAAAAAATTTGTTACTTTTTTTTTGATATAGTACTTTTATTTTCACTTTTTTAAATTAAACCGGGAAAAAATTAATTTGGCATTATCTAACTGTCTCAGCATTTTTTTTAGTAAACAGAATTAAAAAAACATATAAAAAAGTTTTTTAAATTAAAGACAGTATGAAAGTTTTTCTTTTTTTCTTTTTTTTTTAAATTTTAAAGGGAATTAATTTTAACTGTTAATTGAAATTGTAAAACCCAATTGTGAAATTCGGGGGACGAATTTAAATTTAATTTTTGGGGGAAGTATGCCCACGGTTAGAACGGGTTCCCAAATTTAGGGGAAAAGATGTGTAAGGGGGCCGGGAAATACCCTTAGTGGGTTAAAAGCCGGGGAAACGGATTCCCGGAAGGCCCGGGGGTTCCCGAGCCCCGGTCAGGTTTCACATTTTCACCCCCTTTGGGGACATTTGGCCCCCAAGGGGGGAACCGTGTGCTTATAGTTTCAGATTTTCAATTGGGCATTGCCCCTGAAAGCATTGTAAATTCGGGGCCCAATTTCAATATTGGGGTTTAAAGGGTATGTCTGGGTTCAGAACTGTTCCAAATTAAAAAGGGGAAAAAATGCTAAGGGGCCGGATAGTTTAAAGTCGGTAGAGCCTTGGAACGGTTTTCCCGAGGGCCCGGGGTTTCGGGTCCCGGTAGGCTGCACATTTTTCTCACCCTGTGACATAGATATGAAATGGACAAGTGCAATATTGTAGGCATGATACTTTTAGATATACAAAAGGCAATTGATACAGTTAACACCATAATGCACATGAAACCTCAAGCATCTGGCAAAAGTAATAACAATAAATAATAATAGTAGTTTCAAGTTTATGTTTCCTGAATAGGACAAAGCTGGTGGGATGTGGCTGGTTACTGATTCCCACTACTGGGGTTTCCAATTTTCCTTTTTGGTTCAAACAGGGTTCCATCATAATTCCTATTTTTCATATATGTCAATGACATAGAAATAGAGAAAAACAGAATGTCTTCAATCATAAGCATTAAGCTTTTGTTACATGCCAATAACTCAGCTATACTTGTATCTGGTATCTGGCATCTTGACAAGAGACATAGTCTATTCTTTTTGGGTCCAAGTTTAAACTTGAACAGGGTCCTAGCCTCTATGTCACATTTTCATTTCTTCTATTAAGAATCTAGGTGCAAGTAATGATCAGATATGTTTTGCCGTCGTCTTTAATATTTGCATCAATGCTTTTCTTGTCATATATTCGGTTAATTATATCAATAGTTCATAATTCAGGAATAATACCAGTCTCTAATTTAAGATTTAAAATTTTAACAATTATTCTTTTCATTTATAAATGTTGCTTTGATATGTTCATTTACTATATTGTCGTACCCAATGACTTGTTTATTTTTAAGGAATTTTATTACATACGCAATGTATTGTCTGTGATTGGAACATTTATTTTCTCGTTAGTTTATGTATTCATGAAGTCAGGTCTATTTATATTTTCATTTCTTTCATCATTTTTAAAATTTAGACTTTAAGAGAATATAAAAAGGTATGAAAAAGAAGCTTTGTTAAGCAATAAATCACATTTGACTTATGAGCATTACATCAATTAAGCATACGATCAATTAAATCATTCATGGCAAGATGGCAAATTATGCGCATACATGTATGAACAAATATATAACTTGTTTAAAAAAATAGCATGATAATGATACTTAAACATTTGAATAATTATATTCATATTGGGAGAACAAAATAAAATGTTTCAATTTATATATTTGTGCGATATAAAAAATTTTTGGTTGAAAGTTTTTAATGTGCTTTGTTTTTTTTCCGCTTTTTTTATTCCAAAAGCTTCATAATACGAAATTGCAAAGATTTTCGAATTTTCATTTTTGTTTTCGCTTTTAATAAAATTTAATAAATACTTTTATATTTATATAAAATATATATAAAAGCTCGGGGCCTCCAAAAAATTTTTGATATACTTGTTTTTCTTTAATTCCAAAATATTAAACATTCAATTAAAAAAAAAATTCATTCTTCCTATGTTTTAAAAAACCCCATTATGGCTTCTAAAAATGTTTTTTAATTTTTTATTCCTCTAAAGGATTTTTTCTGTGGTACAATGTGTTTTTAAGTAAATATATATGGGATCATTATCAACATAGACTATAAACGTGAAAGATATTAAGTATAACTAATGTATTGATGAGTTTTATGCAATCTCGTATGAGGAATCAGTACGAAAAATCTAAAGATATTATTATACATGTATCATTTATCAGTTAAAATATAGAACATGTACATTTCATAGCAAATGCACATAAATTTTTCTGCGTGTGAGAATCTTACGGAAGCGTCCTGTTGCCAATTAAACATGTTTTATAAAAATTGAAAACTCCTACGTAGGAGATAGAAAAGTCTAATTAGGAGTTTATAACTCCTACGTAGGACTTTGTAACTCCTACGTAGAAGATAAAAAAGCCTAATTAGGAGTTTATAACTCCAACGTAGGACTTTTTAAATCCTACGTAGGACTTTTTAACTCCTACATAGGACTTTTAAACTCCTACGTAGGACTTTTTAACTCCTACGTAGGACTTTGTAAATCCTACGTAGGGCTTTGTAACTCCTACGTAGCAGATAAAAAAAAGCCTTAAAATTAAGGAGTTATAAGTTTTACGGTAGGACTTTTATAACTCCTACGTAGAGGAAACACCTTATAAAGTCCTTACTTTGGAGTTATAAACCTCCTACGTAGGACTTTTTTAAACTCCTACGTAGTACTTTAAAAACTCCTGATTAGGTTTTTTTTTTATCTCTACTTACGTACGAGTTATAAAGTCCTACGTAGGACTTTATAAAGTCCTTACGTAGGGTCATGAAGTCCCTTACGTAAAGGACTTAAAAAGTCCTATGTAGGAGTTTTACAAACTGCCAAATTGGCTTTTTTAACTTCTACGGTAGGAGTTATAAAGTCCTACGCTACGAGTTTGTAAGTCCTATATAGGACTTTAAAACTCCTAATTAGGTTTTTATATCTCCTACGTAGGAGTTATAAAGTCATACGTAGGACTTATAAAGTCGTACGTAGGAGTTATAAACTCCTAATTAGGCTTTTTATCTCCTATGTAGGAGTTATTAAGTCCTACGTAGGAGTTACAAAGTCCTGCGTAGGAGTTTTCTTTTTTATGTTAAATTGGCACCAGGACGCTTCCGTAGAATCTAGCTAGATCTAGGCAGTGTATAATTCTAAATGACAATGATTTGCTGTAAGTCTTAAAAAACCCTCCAAAACAGAGCTCTTTTAATTTTTAATATCTAAATGATATTTATGTAAAGAATTTTAACATTAAAAATTAATAAAACTGATGTATACTATCGCAAAAGTATCGTCTGTATAAAAGTTGTCGTCTGCCTTATATCTATGTTATCGTTTTATACAAAAATAGAACATAAGACTGGTAGACTGATAGATATCTGGATACGTGGTGGTTCAATATTCAAATTTTTATTTACGTTAGATTCTCATTAAACATATTTTGATACTGTACACATTTACTCACGAAATTTAAAATATGCGAGATCTTTAC